GGAACAATACACAGGCCGGGAGTTCCAGTCCCAAGACTGATGGGGGGGAGAGGGGGGAAATGAAATATAGCTTTGAGGAAGGGGGGGGCGAGAGATATAGGAAGGGATAGGAAAGGAAAACAAAAGAGGAGGCAACAATGCTTGATAAGAAATTTACTGGTAGCCGGGTGCCTGTGGCTGACAACTGTAATCCTAGCTACTCAGGAGGCTGAGATCTGAGGATGGAGGTGCAAAGCCAGTCCAGGCAGGAAAGTCTGTGAAACTCTAATCTCCAATAAGCCACCAGAAAACCAGAAGTAGCAGAGCTGTAGCTCAAGTTGTAGAGCACTAGCCTTAAGCTGAAGAGCTGAGGGACAGTGCTCGGGCCCAGAGTTCAAGGCCCACAGCAGACAAAAAAAAAAAAAATGTACTCAGTGAAATGGGCCCTGAGAGGAGACTTGAGCTGGTACAGCTTCTTTCCAGGCTTTGCCTCTGTTTTAGGGATTTTAGGGAAAAAAACAAAAAAAAAAACTCTAAACAAGGTTAACTTGACCTTGGCTCTAATCAGCCCAGTTCTTGGAATGGAAAGAATGCCTCTAGGTCCCCCTCCCCATAACAACCTAACCCACCTTGATTGACTGACCTATAAAACAGATGGGTTGTAATCTTGCTCCAACTGGTGACTCTACCTATTGGCTTTCTGTGTGTGGTGTGGTATGACCATACAATCCTTTGTGACCTGCTTGTGACCAGACTCGACCTTGTGAATTTTGCCTTTAAAAACCTAAGTATGTGGGCTGCTCGGGGTCGCAGTGTCAGCTCCCGAGCCTGTGCTGCAGCCCTGGCCAGTCAGTGTAGGAACCTTCTCAATAAAGTTGCTTCTTTCTTAACAACTTTGTTGCGGTGGGCTCTGTCACTCCGAACGACTAGGTGGGCTTGCCTGCCTGAGTAGGGGTCTTCCTCCTACACTCATTATCTTGCCCATGTAATTGTAACTCCTTTGTATAGCATTTTCATAATAAAAAAATTTTTTTAAAGAAATACAGCTTTGAATTGGACTATTTGAATTGAACCCCACCTAGGTTTAAATTTGAGTTCTGCCTCTCTAAGTAGTGCAATCTGCAACCTGTACAACAGAGTAATTTCAATCTCACAGAATATATTAGGCAAGAATATATATGCAGCCGGGTGCTGGTGGCTCATGCCTATAATCCTAGCTACTCAGGAGGCTGAGATCTAAGGGTCTGGGTTCAAAGCCACCCTGGCCAGGAAAGTCTCTGAAACTCATATCTCCAATAAACCACCAGAAAACCGGAAGTGGCGCTGTAGAGCTCAAGAGGTAGAACGTAACCTTGAGCTGAAGAGCTGAGGGACAGCGCTCAGGCCCAGAGTTCAAGCCCCACAACCAACAAAAATTTTTGATGTTAGGCGAAATGAACCCCAAGATAAGGATTCAAATGTTTTTTCTTTCTTGCAATTGTTTCCAACATATTTATACGATGATTTCTTCGTTGCTTTGTATGTACCTCCTCCAGGGTATAAGCCCTGCTTTCACTGTATTTGTTGTTGATATATTTGTGGAGAGGAAGGGAAAAAACAAACTATTTAAATAGGGTTACAGGTGGACCCATTACAACAAGGAGATGTACAAGACATTTTGTCAAAAAACAAACTTTACAACTTTGGCAGGATGGGAGGTGGGAGGGGGTGGGAGGGTGGGGGAGTGGGAAGGTGGAGAGGAGAGGGGATGGTATGGAGAAACAAAGGAGGAGGCAACAACGATTGATAAGAAATGTACTCACTATTTTACCCATGTAATTGTAACCCCTCTGTATGGTATTTTCACGATAATAAAAAAATAAAATTTTTTTAAAAAAATTAAAAAATATATATGCATATATTTCTTTGACTATATTCAGAGTTCAAAAAACAGAACAGAATAAGCCAACTTTCTACACTCCCTCAATTCTTGAAAGAGGACTCAGAGAAAAATCACTACAAGGGGCTAGGGAGATGGCTCAGTGATAGAGTGCTTGCCTCGCATGCATGAGCATTGAGGCCCTGGGTTCAATTTCTCAGCACCACATAAACAGGAAAGGCCAGAAATGGTGCTGTGGCTCAAACGGTAGAGGGCTAGCCTTGAGCTAAAGAGGGAAGCACCCAGGCCCAGAGTTCAAGCCCAACGACAGGCAAAAAAAAAAAAGAAAAAGAAAGAAAGAAAAGAGAAGAAAAATCACCACAAAGTATACAACTAATCAAAAAGAGAGAAAAACAAAAACTCCATCAAGATGATTCAAGCATCTCAAAATACAATCTGGCAAAAGGAAGAATACCTTTAAGTTATTCAGATACAAATATAAGTTAGCTTTGAAACTATTAAAAGCAATGCCTCTAATTAGAAGAAAAGTATGTGGGCAGCTAAAGCTACCGTCCTCCCATCAAAGGAATGTGCACAATCCAGTCGACACAATCACACCCCCTCAACTGTCTAGCTTAAGATATAACTTCCTCAGTCTTCAATTGTGTCAACAAACAGCATGTGGAACAAGATATAGTTTCTGTTAATAAGCAAAAGCTACATTCCCAAAATAATTTCTTCTAATCACAAGCAAGATATTCTTTTCACGGAGGAGGGAAGAAGAGAGAAGTGGGAAGGGGAAGAGAAAAGGGGAAAAGAAAGAAAAGGAAAGGAGGGGAGGGGAGTGGCTTACCTAAATTGCTGGGCCTTGGGAAAATCAACTAAAGGCAACAGGGTGGCCCACCACACAGAAAGAAAACAGCCCAAAGATTAAGAACAGTTCAAACTCCTTGATAAACCGGCAGAAGTCCCCTATCTTGGCAAAATAAGGCTGGGGGGGGGGGGGGGGGAAGGAGGAGAGGAAGGAGGGAAGATGAAAGGAAAGAAGGGAAGGAGGGAGGGATGTAAGGGAGGGAGGGAGGAAGGAAAGAGTGGAGCAAGGGAGGAAGCAAGCAAGCAAGGGAGGGAGGGAGGAGAGCATTGTCTTTTTGCTCATCTCAGTCTCATTGGAGCTGGGAAGGTGGCTCAGTGGTAGAGTACTTGCTTCACATGCATGAGGCCCTGGTTTTGATTCCTCAGTACCACATAAGCAGAAAAAGCCAGAACTGGTACTATGGCTCAAATGGTAGAGCACTAGCTTTGAGCTGAAAGAGCTCAGGGAAAGCGCCCAGGCCCAGAGTTCAGACCCCACAACCAACAACAACAACAAAAAAGACACACTGTAAGAGACAGCATACAAAACTATAACCAATATTAAGCAGTATAAAATGGTCAACAAAATACAAATGCAGCCAGGTGCCTGTAGTTCACACCTGAAATGCCAGCTACTCAGAAGACTGAGATCTAAGGATCACAGTTTGAGGCCAGTCTGGGCAGGAAAAATCTCTGAGACTCTAGTCTCCAATTAATCACAAGAAAACCAGACAACCAGAAGTGGTTCTATGGTTCAAAGTGGTAAAGCACTAGCCTTGAGCAGAAAAATCTTAGGAACAGTGCCCACAACCTGTTCAAGCCCCACAACTGAACAAAAAAAAAAAGTTCAAATGCATTTAGTCTTTATTCTGTAATTCCATTGAAAGGAATATATTCTACACAGATATACAGATATAGAAAATAAACTTTGTTCAGGTTCTTCACTGCATCATTTTTTAATATCAAAATATAAACACTTAAAGCGCTTTCATTGTTAGGGAGCTGACCAGAGAAAATCAATAGAATTATTTTTTTTTTTTCTTTATGCTTATGTGGTGCTGAGGAATGGAACCCAGGGCCTCATGCATGCAAGGCAAGTGCTCTACCATTGAGCCACCTTCCCAGCCCCTCAATAGAATTATTATGCAGCTATAAGACCTTATGATGTATAAACACAAAGTTTAGAACAAGGATAAGAGAAATATATTTAAAAACCTTGTTAGGAGGGCTGGGAAGGTGGCTCAGTGGTAGAGCACTTGCCTTGCATGCATGAAGCCCTGGGTGCCATTCCTCAGCACCACATAAGCAAAAAGCAAAAAGCCAGAAGTAGCAATGTGGCTCAAGTGGTAGAGTGCTAGCCTTGAGCTGAAGAGCTGAGGGACAGCTCCCAGGCCCAGAGTTCAGGCCTGACGACCGAACCCAAAAAAAAAAAAACTTTGTTAGCGCTGAGAATGTGGTTTAGTAATAGTGTGCTTTCCTCGCATGCACGAAGCCCTGGGTTTGATTCCTCAGTACCACATACACAGAAAAGGACAGAAGTGGCCCTGTGGCTCAGTGCCCTCAATCCCAGAATTCAAGCCCCAGACTACAAAAAAAAAAAACAAAAAACCCAACAACACTTGTTACTCTTATAACATATAACTGTAACAAGGGTAGAAAGGAACATTTTAACCCTTTTGTGTCTCTAGAATTTTGAATCATATTCAAGATTCAAAATATCAATATATTGTTCATCACTACTTTTTATGAAAAATTTTTATTTTTTTATTTTTTATTTTTTATTTTTTTGGTCATGGGGCTTGAACTCTGGGCCTGGGCACTGTCCCTCAGCTCGTCAGCTCAAGGCTAGCACTCTACCACTTGAGCCTCAGCCCCACTTCCAGCTTTTTCTGCTTATGTGGTGCTGAGGAATCGAACCCAGGGCCTCATGCATGCAAGGCAAGCATTCTACCACGAGCCACCTTCCCAGCCCCATGATGATTAATTTTTATAGGCACACTTGTAAGCTTTTTTTACTCTTCTTTAAAATAGTAACAATCCTTCTTTACTTCTGCTGCCATAAGAAAAAGCAATCTCAAAATGCATTGGAATTTGCCTAGTTGCTAATCTACTTCCCGGTCATTTAGAGTTTCAGGTTTGTACTTGTCCTTCATTCCTTGTGCCATGTGTTAAATTGCACAAATAGCAGTATCTTCCAAACTGTGAGAAAAACAGATGAGAACTTAGCAAAAGTATAAAAGCAGCTACACTTTCACATGAGCTAACCTACTAGGAACTGCTGATATAGGGATTCAACCACCTTTATACTTACAGGGATGCTCCAGACCTGCATTCCATCACTGTAGCCAATCATAATCAGCAGTGGGGGTTCATTTCCAGTGCTATGTAGTTCTTGAAATTCCAGATTTCTTGATGTATCTACAATAGAATTAAGTATCAAAAAATTTTTTTCAAGACAAGCACTAATCAAGAAACAAGTGTACTTCTTTAATGCTATTAATGTAGTAATTATTTAAATAGATTATCTTACAATGTAAAAAGCGAGTAAGAAGAGGCTATGGAAGTGGCACTGTGGCTCAAGTGGTAGAACACTAGCCTTGAGCACAAAGAGGCTCAGGGATAGTGCCCAGGCCCTGAGTTCCAGCCCCCCAAATGACCAAAAAAAAAAAGAGGCTAGGGCAGGAGTATCAATTAAGTCAGCCTGACCAATAACATGAGAACCTATATAACAAAAAGAAAGGTACTAGTGGCTCACATCTATAATCCTAACTATCCTGTTGAAGTGGCTGAGATACAAAGAATCAGCCCATGCAAGAAAGTTCAACAGACTCCACTTCCAAGTAACCACCAGTGTGGCTCAAGTGGTAGACCACCAGCTTAGCAAGTATGATACTCTGAATACAAATCTCAGCACTGCCAAAAAAAAGTAGTGTGTACATACAACTGAATCAATATCATTCAGGCACCTTAATAACGAAGGAAATTGTGACACATGCTACAAAGATGGCCCTTAAGAACATAATGCTATGTGAAACAAGCCAGGACCAAGAGTAATCAAAATGATATGTAAAAGTAGGATAATGGTTACCAGGAGCTAAAGGGAGAAGATAATGTGGAACTATTGTTTAAGAAATATAGTTTATCCAAAAAAAGTAATATAGTTTATTTTATAAGAGGAAAGAGGAGAAGTTATGAAAATTAATAATAGTGGTACTCATACAACATTGTGGTTTGGTGTTTGGGGGAACATTTTGTTGTATTTTTGTCTTTCAGTTTTTGGGTTTTTTGAGACAAAGTCTGTCAATCAGTCTCCGGACAATCCTGCCTCAGCCTCCTGAACAGATGAACTTATGTCATCTAGCCCAGCCTTTTGATGTTTTCAATATCACGGAATTATACAATTAGCCAGACATAGGTGTCTCATACCTGTAATCCTAGCTACTTAAAAGGCTGAGATTTGAGGACCCAGTGTAGGCAGGAAAGTCTATGAGACTCTTATCTCCAATGAACCAGCAAAAAAGGTCGAAAGTGGAGCTGTAGCTCAAGTGGTAGAGTACTAGCCTTGAGCAAAAACACTTAGGGAAAGCACCCAGGCTCTGAGTTCAAGCCCCAGGACCAATACAGAGGAAAAAAAAAAACAACTTTTAGTTATGATATACAACCTATCAACCTCTAATAACACTTTCCTAAGAAAAATAAAATCAGCTGGGAGCAGGTAGCTCACGCCTATAATACTAGCTACTCAGGAGACTAAGATCTGAGGATCACGTTTCAAAGCCAGCCCGGGCAGGAAAGTCCCTGAGACTCTTATCTCCAATAAAGCACTAGAAAACCAGAAGTGGCGCTGTGGCTCAAGCGGTAGAGCACTCACTTTGAGCTGAAGAGCTAAGGGACAGGGCCCAAGCCCAGAGTTTAAGCCCCATGACCCACAAAAAAAAAAAGAAAAAGAAAAAGAAAATCGTGTATGTGCCAATCCTTTGTCTCTTAGCTTTTTCGCTCAAGGCTAGCCTTCTACCACTTGAGCCACAGATCCATTTTCAGTTTTTAGTCATTAATTAGAGGTAAGAGTCTTCCAGACTTTCCTAATGAGGCTGGCTTGAAACTATAATCCTCAGATATCAGCCTCCAGAGCAGCTAGGATAACAGGTGTGAGTCACAGGTACTCAGCCCTAAGAAAATTTTAATTTACTTCAATTTGAAGTTTAAAGCTATATGGGGGGGGGGGAGAGGAGGAGGATGGGAAGAGATGGGAAGGGGTAACAAAGGAGGAGGCTACAATACTTGATAAGAAATGTACTCATTGGGCTGGGAAGGTGGCTCAGTGGTAGAGCACTTGCCTTGCATGCTCAAGGCCCTGGGTTCGATTCCTCAGCACCACCTAAGAAAAACGCCAGAAGTGGCGCTGTGGCTCAAGTGGTAGAGTGTTAGCCTTAAGCTGAAGAGCTGAGGGACAGCGCCCAGGCCCAGAGCTCAGGCCCCACGACCGGACCCCCAAAAAAAAAAAAAAAAGGAATGTACTCATTATCTTGCCCATGTAATTGTAACCCCTCTGTACAGTATTTTCACAATAAAAAAAAAAATAAAAATTTAAAAAAATAAAGCTATATACTGTTACATTTAAGAACTGTCATACAACACAATATTTATTGGCTTTGAAGAAATGTCTATAGTGAGGTTATAGTACCTTTTAAATAAAACTATTTTGAAAACTATAAAGTTACTATAAGAGAAAATAATCAGACCAACAATGTAAAGATTTTCTTTCAAAAATCACCTCAATTTCCAACAAATTTAATTTACATATTCCAAAAAAAGTTAAAATCATACCATTCAAATCTGCATTTTCAAATCTGACCCAGACTATTTTCTCCTTTTCTTCTGTTACAGGTGTTCCACTGTAAGCCTGTATGGTAGACAAAATGTCTGAATAAAAACATTTTACAGCTCCAATATTACAATGCTCAAAACAAAGGATGATTCAAATAAAGCCAGTTCTACCCATCTCCGCCTTGTCTCCATCTTGGTAACTGGCACATTTGGGAACATTACTATTCTCAAACAATGTCAGCCCAGGAGTCTAATAAGTTATCAAAAAATATGGGTTTACACCAGAAAACTGGAAATGGCACTGTGGCTCAAGTGGTAGTGTGCTCCCCTTGACCTGAAGAACTCAGGGACAGCGCTGAGGCCCAGAATTCAAGCCTCACAACCAACAAAAAAAAGGGGAGGAAGGGTTGGGGAGGTTAATATATTCAAGAATGGCAAAGCCAGAGGGGGGGACCAAGATGGCGACGGGGCATTAGGGAAACGCCACAGCTCTCTCCAACCAAAAAGAGAGTTCAAGTTCCAACGTTTAATCTCCCCAAGAGACCGACAACAACAAAAAGACGAACACTCAGAGAAAAACCAGAGGTGGAAAATAACAAAAAAAGAAAGAGAGGAAAAGAAGAATTTCAGAACAGAGAAGAGCGAAGACCCCTCCCCCAACCTTTACTGGCCGCTCGGCAGTGCGCCAAGCCGCCGGCCAGCCGGCCCGGCGGGGGCTGCCGGAGCCACAGAGACACAGGGGGCTGCTTGCAGATCACCAGGTACGGGATTGCAGAACAGCGGATCACCAGGAACAGAGAAACCTACCAGCCGGGAGTCTCCACGAGGATCCCACCCCCACCCCTCACTCTCCACTGGAGCGGAGAGGCTCCATCCCGCCAAACCCGCCCGGCACCAGCAGCGCGACAAAGGGACCTGTCCGCAGACCACCTGCCCAATAGCGATCGCAACTACCCGGCGGGGGCCACCCAACCCAGCCCGCAACCACCCCAACTGAACTCGGATTGCAACAACAACTGAAGACCTACAGGGTGAGTACCCCACAGGGGACAGTGAATCCATCAAGGGAGACCAGAGCTGGAGGGAATCCACAGACCCTGACCTAGACTCCCTACCCCAACACCCGGACCACAGTACCCACTAAAACTGGGAACTGTTCGAGAGCTCCACCAGCCGGTGGAGCACACTCTGCTGGCCAGGCCAGAGCAAGAGCGCCCCTGGAAGGGAGCTTAAATGCCCAAGCCAGGAACAGCGCCCCTGGGTCAAGACTACCAACAGTAGAAGAAATTTGAACTGTGTCCTCCAGGCTGCATAACCTAGGTGGTATACACATTAGCACAGGCCTAACGAGCGCGCTCCAGGCTGGGGCCAGAACCAGGCCCGGGGACCGGCGCCTGAACAAAGCAAAAAGGGTCAGAAGTGGGGCTATGGCTCAAATGGTAGGGTGCCAGCCTTGAGCTGAAGAGCTGAGGGACAGCACCCAAACCTAGAGTTCAAGCCCACAACCAGCCCAAAACAAACAAACAAAAACACATCAGGAGCCCATAACAGACTCCAGTATTTGGGAGAGTGCATCCAGAGCATCTGATCTTCCCAAGAGCACCCGCAGGAGCAAACACAAGCAGTCTAGGCTGCTCAACCCTTCCAAAGGCGGGAATTGCTACAGCAGAGAGCTGAGAATCCTAAGTAAGTCAGAATAGCAGCTGGAAATAGGCTCCCAACAGAATCCAGATCAGGCACAGACTCTCTCTACCAATACAGAATCAGCAACCAAGCAAAGACAAACACACCAAAACAAGATTGAAGAGCAGTCTCCTGAACCCCCATGCGAAAATCACAGAGAAAAATCACAAGGTTTACCACTACCCAGGACAGCAAGCTCACCTCAAAAGCCAGCAGCCACGCAGGGGAGAACCCCAGTGGGAGCAAAGCAGGAATGGAAGACAAAAACTACATCCAAGGGTTGCTGGAGGCAATGACTCAAGAAATAAAGCGAGAAATGGATCAGAAATTGAAAGAGCACAAGGATGAACTATCAAAAGATATACAGGACATCAAACAAAAGTTGGATGCAAAAATAGAAGCTGCACAAACCTCAGTAAGAAGTGAGATAAACGCCAAATTAGAGGTAATGCATACTGATCTCACCTCATTGAGAGGTGAGATCAGTACTCTGAGAACCAACATTGAATCCATAAAGGGATCCATTTCCACCATGCAAACCACAATAGAAGCCACGGTCAACAGAGTGAATGAAATGGAAGGTAGAGTGTCAGATACAGAAGACAGAATACACCAACTGGACCAAAAAGTGACAGATATGGAAAAATCACTCAAATTAAACCAAAGGGAAATTCAAGAGCAAGCAGATAATGCTAAAAAATTTAACCTTCGCATAATCGGAGTGGACGAAGGTGAGGAATTCCAGAGCAAGGGAATGCAACACCTATTTAACAAGATAGTCAATGAAAATTTTCCCCACCTCAAAAACGACCATCTTAACTACATCACAAAAGCTTATCGAACACCCAACAAGCAAGATCCCAGGAGAAACACTTCTAGGCACATTATAGTAAAAATGATGGATCTGAATAATAAGGAAACAATCCTGCATGCAGCAAAAATGAAGAAGGAGCTATACTACAACGGGAAAAAAATTAGAATCACTGCAGATCTCTCCACACAAACAATGAATGCAAGAAAAGCCTGGGAAAGCACCATACGAGCCCTGAGAGCCAATAACTGCCAACCCAGACTGATATACCCGGCAAAGCTAGCATTCACATTCGATGGAGAACTGAAAACTTTTAATAGCAAAGAAAAACTAAATGAATACATAAACATTAAGCCAGCATTACAAAGAATTCTAAGAGGGGGGACACAACCTGAAGAAAGCAACCAGGAACTGGGACCTGCCCCAAACAGGCATTACTCAAAGTCTAACTGAGCAAGCACAGGAGGAAAGGAAAGAAGAAAAACTTAGGAAAACGGAATGGCAGGGACAACAATGCATCTCTCTATACTTTCTCTTAATATAAATGGGCTGAATTCGCCAATTAAAAGAAAACGAACTGAGGACTGGATCAGAAAACAAGACCCATCCATCTGTTGCCTTCAGGAGACCCACCTCTCAGCCAAACATACAAACAAACTCAGAGTGAAGGGGTGGAAAAGGATCTACCAATCAAATTCCCCCAATAAGAAAGCAGGTGTAGCTATCCTGATATCTGACAAAATAAACTTTTCATTAAAATCAGTACAGAAAGACAAGGACGGACACTACATATTAATAAAGGGAACAATCCAAGAGGAGGATATAACCATCATCAACTTATATGCCCCAAATATCGGTGCACCCAGATATGTCAAACAAATGCTCTCAAACTTACAGAATAAAATAGATCCCAATACGATAATACTAGGAGACTTTAACACGCCACTCTCACCAAAGGACAGGTCTACCAACCAGAGGATTGGCAAAGAAGCTACCGAATTAAGTGAGGCCATACTTCAAGCGGAATTAACTGACATCTACCGAGTATTTCACCCTAAAACAACACAGTACACATTCTTCTCAGCAGCTCATGGAACTTTCTCCAAAATAGACCATATCATAGTTCATGCAAGGAACTTAAGCAAATACAAAGGGATCGACATAATCCCCTGTATCCTATCTGACCACAGTGGAATCAAGCTAGCTCTCAATAACAAAGCATACCGCAGAAATTTCTCTAATACATGGAAATTGAACAGCACACTCCTTAACAAGGCCTGGGTAACAGAAGAGATCAGAGAAGAAATAAAGCATTTCCTACAACTCAATGAAAATGAAAACACCTCACAAAGAAACTTGTGGGACACAGCAAAAGCAGTCCTGAGGGGCAAATTTATTGCCCTCAGTGCCCACATCAAGAGAATGGAGACAGACCAAGTAAATAATCTCATGTTGCAACTAAAACAGCTAGAAAAACAAGAAAAAATGGGACCTAAAGCTACTAGACGAAGCCAGATAACCAAATTGAGAGCAGAGATTAACCAATTAGAAAATCAGAAAACCATAACCAAAATAAACCAAACAAAAAGCTGGTTCTTTGAAAAAATAAACAAAATTGATGGCCAGTTGGCAAGATTAATTAAAAAAAGAAGAGAGGAAACCCATATTAATAGGATTAGGGATGCCACGGGAAACATCACAACACGTACCCAAGATATCCAAACAATTCTAACAGACTACTTTCAAAAGCTATACTCTCTAAAGGAAGAAAATCTGGCAGAAATGGATGCATTTTTAGAGAAATACAAGTTACCCAAACTGAGCAAAGAAGAAGTTAACCAATTAAATAAGCCAATATCCTATAATGAGATACAGGAAGCTATCAAAAGTCTTCCAACAAAAAAAAGCCCAGGACCAGATGGATTCACAGCAGAATTCTATAAGACCTTTAAAGAAGAACTAATACCCATACTCCTCAAGCTCTTCAGAGAAACAGAGAAGGAGGGAGCTATCCCAAACTCATTCTACGAAGCCAATATCACACTCATCCCCAAACCAGGCAAAGACCCAACCAAAAAGGAGAATTACAGGCCAATCTCCTTGATGAACACAGATGCAAAGATCCTTAACAAGATTCTAGCTAACAGAATCCAGAAACACATTAAAAAAATAATACACTATGATCAGGTAGGCTTCATCCCAGAGACACAGGGATGGTTTAACATACGTAAGTCAATAAATGTAATCCAGCATATCAACAGAGCCAAGGTCAAGAATCACATGATTATAGCCACAGATGCAGAAAAGGCCTTTGATAAAATTCAACATTCATTCATGCTAAAAGCTCTGGAGAAAATAGGAATAGAAGGAACATTTCTAAAAACAATAAAAGCCATTTATGACAGACCAATAGCCAATATTATACTTAATGGGGAAAAGCTACAACCAATCCTCCTAAAAACAGGAACAAGGCAAGGATGTCCACTGTCTCCACTCCTCTTCAACATAGTCCTAGAACCCTTAGCCAGGGCAATAAGGCAAGAAAAAGACATTAAAGGGATCCGCATAGGGAAAGAAGTTAA